CCTCATAGTTGGATAAAATGACACATTTTCCTCAGCTTTTTTTTTGCAACTTTCAGCTAAATGTTTCGCTTGTCACTGGCTGCAGCTGCACAGTTTGGGTTCAGTCTCATTACGGTCTCATTGTTGTCCATCAGCAGCTTCATGCTGAGCACCTAACAGGCGCACGACGTTATAAAACCAGCTGGTGGCGAGCACAGTGGTGCATTTAGCTGCTAAAGATCCACATATTGTCCTCAGGAGTTGTTGTTCAAAGACAGGAACTGTCGCACTCTCACTTATACTCCAAATGCATGCAGATGTTTTACTTTGTGTATTACTGTCTGCTAACAGTCATCACAATAACTTTATATGCTAATGTCCTCTTTGTCTTAACATTTCATTCCGGCATCCTCAAGTGCCCAAACACACCATTACTGCTGCTCTAAAGGTTTACGTTAAATATTTCAACCAACAGACTCCTCAGATATCTGAAGCGTCCGCCAAGCAAAACCTGCAGCATCACTGGTTTCAATGTGAAATGTGTTGTCCTGCATCCACGAGATAATAACACTCTCAGGCACTTCTTCCACGGCGCTTTGTTTCTCGCAGTCCAACCCGCTTTCGTTTGAGCTTTTCCTCCCAACACAAGAAAGACGCCGTCAAAATACCCTTTGCGTTTGACTCTAAACCGTCACTTTAATTCAGTATCTCATTGTTCGCAGACTTTTTCTTCAGCCTTTGTTTCATCTTCTCTCCTCATTCCGCTATTTCATTTTTCTTCCTCCACGTTCCCACATAGCCTCACATGCGGTTGAATCTGAGCAATTACTTGCCTCTCCCGATGTAATAACAGTGGTTAAGATGGAAAACGAGCCCCCCCCCCCCCCCCCGCTTTCCAGTTACCGGATCAAAGATGGCTCGAGAGGACGTGGAGCGGCACTAACAACTCTGCACACATAAAGACGGAACTAAATGCTCTGCACTGTCAAGCCCCAGCATCCCGCTCCAAGAACTTCAGCAAAAACCCAAAATAAAAAAAACTCTTGGAAAAACGGCTGCCGTCACCTGCCTGGTAATTACCTGCCAATCGGCAGCGGCAGATGCACCGGCAAGGAAATGTTGGGTGGCAGTCAAAGATCAGGCTTGGTCGGAAGGATAGAGGGGGAGAGACAGAGGGGCTCGTAATGAGGCCTACGAGACGGAATCAGCTGTCAGAGCAGCTGAGAGAGAGTGAGACGCTCGGGCAGGGCACACACACGCACACACACCCACACACACACACACACACACGCACACACACACACACTCACGTTACTGAGCTATGGATGCCAATTGTGGGGGAGTTTTAGCCGGGGACGCCATTGTGCTCCCTTCTGGGGCGATGATACTGTACGATACAGCAGCGCTCGCTGCAGACGATCAGAAAGGAAACGGGAACACTGAAACGGGAACGGGAAGACTGAAAACCGAGCCTCATCTTTTAATGATATTTTGCCATTAGATGAGGACTATTTTTGGAAATGTAAGAGGACGTAATTAATTGGCACTGATGGTTAATTGATTACATGTTTCTTTATTTTTTACAGTGACAGTTTCCCTCCTTTGATGGCCCGTTGATGGGAAGCAGCGAGACGTTCTCTTCTTCTGTAGGATTTATTATTTAGGCCCGAACATGAATATTACATTTCCTCTAGTTCCTGCTGTTGATCCTGACAGCAACTTTGACTTTCAGGAGTTTGTCTATCTCAAGTTTTCATGGCTGCAGGTGGTGGATTGAAGAGTCAATAGTGCATAATAGTCAAAAACACAATGAGGACTCAAAACAAAGAAAGCTTGTTTGAGTGCGGATTTACTTTTTCAACGTGGGTCAAACTAAGATGTTGAATTCCTTTGAGGAAAGACTCTCCCAAAGTGTGCACCTGGTCTAGATCTTAAATCAATTACCTTGACTGATCCCTAATTGTACGCCGAACAGCTAATAACTCTTGACATGGTCGGATAACGTGATGAAGTTTCTTTCATTCGAGAAAGAACAAACGGCATCACCTGCCTCGATGCTCGGGAGGTTGAATTTGTCACGTCGCATTGTGTCTCATTGTAGCGAACAAGGGCGCTTCATGTTCGGGAAAAGATCAAAAAGTGCTTGACAGGTCGGGTAAACTTTGGAGGCTTGACTGCACTGCAAGTGTTTCTTGGGACATTAGCTGCTTAAAAGCAACAACTTGGAAGTGAGATCCGATCCCCGAGTGGTCGACGCAATCCAGAGCTGTCGCCTTGTGATCAGCTCACACATCACAGCAGACTTATGCCGATCACGGATGCGGCGTCATTTGAATTGCTTAGCGTGGACGCTGGAAAACGGGCCGAACTCTCGTAGGATTGGACCTCTTATTTTGTCAGAAAGTGCAAGCTTCCTGTTTGCGAGTCGTGCAGGTGCTCAAACAGCAGGTGGGCGGGCCGAGGACCTGTCACTCATTGTGGATGCATCTGCAGGAAAAACAGACTGGAAGGTTCAACGGTGCCACACAAATGAACCCAAAGGAGCAGACATTAAATGAGACAAAAAGAGCAACGGCTGGAAGCACCGGAATTGTTTCATTTTATTTCAGTACTGCAAAATGAATGATTTCAAGTGTTCCACTCGCCAAAGGCAGCAGCGTTCCGCAGAGAATTAGCAATACTGACGCTTATTTCACCTCCCAGTTACCCACTTATCACTCCAACATCTCCCATGCTTGCGGCCGCCATGTTAATCAAATAACATGTAAAAACAAGACTGAATTTCATCACATCGCCACCAGTGAGGTAAGTGGCCATGTTTAATTCATAGTTTTCGCCGAATGATGTAGTGCTGCGCTCGATATCGCCGTGGACAACAGCTAATTGTCATTTCAGCCGGAAAAGTTCCAGATTAGTCTACGAAGGCCGCGCTGGTGAGACGGAGGAGGACGGGCGGGGGGGGGCCTCGTTTCAGGCTATTTGGATCTCGCGCAATCTTCACTCAGTCATCGGCGTCTCTCCGTCCCCTGCTTTGTTATCGTCTGTCTCATTACAGCCGCTGTTCCTTCCTCCTCGTTCTGCTCGACTCGCCTCCTGACAGGCTGAGGGTAATGGAGATGGGTAAGGAAAGGCTCCGAGTGGCTCCCCCAGCACGGAAATGTGAAGAAAACTGAATAGCTGTGGAGAATTATGGAAATAGATTCATTTAGACTTATGATAGTCTTTTTTTTTTTTTGTTTCATTCTCTCAGGCAAAACGGCAACAGGATATTGGAGCGTTGATTCCCACGCGATCGAGCAAATGTACCAGTCAAGCATCCTGAATCTGGTTTTCCTTCATTCAGCCTATGTCTTGTTGTCTTTTTTTAAAAGCACAATGAGTGGCACTGAAGCACAAAATGATCTTTTAACTGGATGCAGAGTAAGGGGCTTGCCACTGAGTTAATGTGGGCATTGTGCAAACAGAAGAGGATCCAGCGAGTATTGATCAGTGGGACACTGTCACTTTTCTCCACATTGAACGGTGCTTCTCGTTAGGCCTTCATTATTTTTGGCAGATTTCGTCCTTTGCTTCCTTTGTCCAAGAAAAAGAGCCCGTGTGGACACACACACACACACACACACACACACAAATGCACAGACACACAGTCACTGTTCATTTCCTCTTCTCTCCTCCGGTTTCTTTACCGTCTCATGCTTTCCCCCCCTCAGCGCCCGGGGGTGCTCATTTTTCAACAAGCTATAGCCGGCATGTGCATCACGCACAAAAAACAACAACAACACTCAAACACACATTGTGGAGCTGTTGCAGAGGGTTTGCATTATAGATCTGCAGATGAAAAACAAGCAGCAAGCGGATACCTGGAGGTAATCATTGGCAAATGAATTCAAGGCGTTTCGGGCCAGTGGCTATTGATGCACCCAGGAAGGCAGCCGGTCTTCATCTGAAGCACCTGTACAATTAAAAAAAAAAGAAAAACATACATGCACCTATAAGCCAAAGCAGTGAGAGGGGACGTGTGAGGAACGGAGAATCCCACCGGGCTGCATGTGGGATAAAAGCACGCGAGTCAACATACTACTCTCACTGCATTGGAGGTTGTAGAACTCTTGTTCCATGTTCCCGGATTGAAAAAATGTACGGATAGATCATTTAATAAATATTCTGGCATCTTTCTCCAGAAATATGTGGCTCATTATAAGTGGCCGCAGCTTTGAAAATGAGCACTGGATTAACATTATGAGCTGTGTTTATGTATCCTTGATTAATGACGCTCCTCCCCGACCGTCTGCTCCCTAATGCAATATGCATGCATTGTTTTTCATTCCTTTGCTCTCTAACTCTGAATGAGCTGCAACTAATTACACACATAGCGAAATGTAAAATCTAAACTGCTTTCGTGCAGCCCATTTGCATTAAATCTTTAATGTCACAACATGTAAACTAGATGGGGGGGGGGGGGAAGCCCCTCTGAAGAGCTGCTTCCACAGGGGTTGTTTGCATGGAAATTCACACGTCCGCGTCCTCGTCCTGTTCCAGGAGACGAGCCCGACGTGGAATCACGGAGTCAAGCTGGAGCGCTTTAGCTGAGCTCAGCTGAACCTCATTAAAACTTTTCAATTACAGGCAGATTGAAGTCTGGGACGACTGCAGAATCAGAAGCTCTCCAAACCAGTCGAGGCTTTTTTTTTTAATCATTCCCTTTGGTTCAAGGGAACGCTGTGAATGAAAGAGGGCAATGAATGGCCCTGTGAACTGCTGCGCCAACATGAGGATGGGACGCTCAATCGGGTTTTTGTGTATTTTTTTCGGTAAGAAAAACAACAGAAGATTGGAAAATTGTGATTCACACTCTCATGCAAAGCGCTCTCTTCCTGTGGACGGGCGGCACATGATGCAACGCGAGGAGCAAAAGTACAAAACGATGCAACATGAGACGCAAAGCGATAACGAAGAGGGAGGAATAAAAACATGGAAAATGACTAGAAAGAGACGCACTGTTTTTTTTTTTTAGAACTCATAATGTCCCAAATGCACAGCCAAGCAAAGTTTAGTCTCACACAAACAATTTAAGTCAGGTTTGTGTGCAAAACTGTCAAGAACCAGGACGCCCTCTTGTTTCCTCTCTGATGCAGACACGATGCTGTATGTTTGGTGATGTCAGCTCGTCTGACAGACTGACATCCTTCTATTCGCCTTCCTGTGTCTCCGGCAGCAGCGGGCCACATGGGGGAATCATGTTTTCAGGCCGAATGTTTGGCTGTTACACGTGGGTGTCTTTTTTTTTTTTTTGTACTATCTGAAGGAGTCGTCCTCCGGTGCGGTTGATGTAAGAGCCGCGGCTCAGACGACACGAGCCTGCCAACAGTCTGCCACGGATTCCTCCGATCCCTCCTCGCAAGTCTCCTTATCCCGGGCGTCGTTATCGCGAAGGGTCTGGCAGCCATCAGCTGCACGGCAAACGTCCCCCGAATCCGCTCCGAACCGAACGGGGCCCACGGCGTCTCCGTTGTGTCGAGCGAACAACGCAAGGGCCTTCATGTCACCCGGGGGTTGGAAGGAGTCCTGCCCGAGAGAGAGAATGGTCTATTTCTATTTCTAAGATGTCTGATACATTTGCTCATCTGCAGTCTTTTTCAGGATCTTTCTCTCTCTCGCTCTCTCATTTCTCGCTTTCATCTGAAACATTAATCTTCACATTTCATATTTGGGGGCTTTGATCAGTTGTGTTCATCATGCGAGGCGCCTCACGCAGCCGGGGGCTACCGTCGTTATCATCAATCGAAAGACGGTCCGGAGCGTTTGCAAAGCCTCAGTTTTTTCCTTAATTACCATTATAACAACGCAAAGACCTGCAGCCGTCAAAAGGTGAGCGCTGCGACGTACCCTCTTCATGAGGGGACTCGATTACTCGGGTGTTTGAGGACACGTGGCCTTACTTTGAATCCTTCTCCTCCTGCAGACGCTCGCCGCTCCGGCGCGTTCTTCACGCCCGTGTTTGCCGTGTTCCTCTCCTCTCGTTCGCCCCCTTTGAAGTTGAGCCGTCTTGACAGCCGGAGCTCTGCTACACTTGTCATTAGGAGCAGCACTCCCCCCCCCCCCCTCCTGCTACCCTGCATGTCTCATCTCACCCGAAGGGGGAGGAAGAAAAGGAGAGGGAAGCTTCACCCAGCGACTAGCTGATCCACTTCCCCAAAAGGGGTAGAAAAAGACAAAAAAAAAAAAGAAAAGACGTGCGATTATTGATGTGACGCAAACCTTTAGTGTCACAGAGAAGTGAAAGCAGCATTCTTCTTCTTCTTCTCTCTTCTCTCTCTCTTCTCTCTCTCTCATACTGCCTAAATACATTCCCTGCTTATAGAGTGAGACTGCTCCTTTGATGTAACTAATTAATTGAGATTAAAAAAAATTTAAAAACGCTAAAAGGAAAATACATTTCTCTAGTAGCTTTGGTGAAGGATTAGCAGACGCGCCGTGGTTATTACGGTTGTGATCGTCTTCTCTCCAAAATAGCATCTCAGCAATTAAGGTGATTAGACAAATGGAGAACAATGAGAATCAATAATGATTACGCGACGTAAATCACTCGACTTGGAAGCTTCACCGGCCTGCCGGAGAGAACGCGTGGCATCGTACCGCGCCGACGGGAAGCCACGTGGTGGCGGGGATAACGTAGCGGAGAAGAGAACGGCAGTGACTGCAGGTCACACTGAGGTCGTGGGTTGGGGGAGGGGGGGGTCGAGGCTCATTTATCATCCCGCGTCTCTGGGCTCCGGGTCTAGTTGAGATCACGCCGCCATCAAAACAAGCTTCTGAACTGAGCGCGAAGGTTCATTTTCGACCTTGGCAAAAACAATCGCAGCTCACGGCCTTTAGCGGCGCATGAAACCGCAACCTCAGGGTCGCAATCAGCGGATCCACTCTGCTCAGGAGTCGCCGCCGGTGACTGCAGTGGGGAGCGTCGGTCACATGGTGACAAGTGGTCGTATAAAGGGGCAGAATTTAACCTTCCAGTCTCCCCCACTTCCCCTCGACCCTTGAAGCTACAGGCTAGCTCGGGGAGGGGGGGGTCTCGGGCTTCGACAGCGAGCAAAATCTCTACATACATGCTGGTGGTTTGTGGTTGTTTAGCTACTCGTATGACTGGAGGGAATTCTCACTGCATTTCCTACTGTAGTCCAAGTTAAACTATTGCACGTGCATACTAACTTACTAACTAACTCACCCTCAACACAAGACTGCTGGATTAGTGCTTAATTCAAAATGTAGCCACTTGCATCTTAATTTCGGTCTTCCAATTCTCAAATTCGCTACCTGTTGCGTACAGAATTGATTTAAAGATCCCTCTCCTGGTGCACGGAGCTCTTAGCGGTCTGGCTCCAGAGGTGTATCTCTGATATGCTTCCAATTTATCCACCAGAACAGATTTCTCAGGTCACCCGACAGAATCCCCAGAGCTCAGTCTAAATCTGGCGGCTGAGATCTCAGTGTTTATGCACCTAGAACCTGCCGGTTGATTTGAGGTTCACAATCTTCATCTGCTTCTGTGTGAATATATGATTTGTCTGTCTGTATCGATGTTTCCACAAACTCCCATCGCCCCGTAAAGCGTTTTTAATTGCTCTTCTATGCGATTATCCTCTTCAAATTAAACTGAACATGTTGACAAAAGCAATTCAATGCTGCTGTGACCGCTAACAGGATAATAACCATCCTGTTACACTCGACAGGAGCCATTGGCAGACTCGTACTGGTCCCAAGCGTTTCCTCGCGGGGAGAAGTGTGATCCCGATGAAAGCGCATCATCTCGGCGGTCTTGGGAATCACTGTACATGGTGAGTATAATTAGTGCCCTGGTATAAGTAATGGCTCCTTTGCATCCCCCCCCCCCCCCACCTCTGGATCAGATTTAACCTAGATAACCCTGGTAAGGGGAACTGGCTAAACCCTGCAGTCCAATGGACGGACCTCTCGTTCTTGCTCTCCTTGTGTTAGTCAACCAACTGGCCGAGCAGATGTTCATCTTGGTCGGGACTCACGTGATATTAAAGATACAAAGGATGCAGACAAAACACATTAAGAACAGTTTCAGCAGCGTCTCACACTGAAAACAGGCATTTAAAGAAGGGCGTGTTGTTTAAAGGGATCATATCATAAAAAACTACAAGCTACTACTCTTCTATACCACTATACAACCGTGTGAATTTACATTTGGCAATCTGGACTGATTACCAGCTCACCAACTTTTTCGGATTTGTTTTTTTTGTGAAAAGGCATTTAGAAATACAGCGCTTGCGGGTTTTCCAACGAACTGCGAGTTCAGCGCTTTCATTATTGATTAAAACAATCTGATAAATGAAAGTTAGACACAAGTTGAAACTAAAATAACCTTTAAACATTTCGGCGTGGGAGAACATCGCCGGAGGTTTTTCGGGCATCGGGCCGTCTGTCACAGACAAACAGGAGCACGCGACTGCTTCAAAGGGGAGACGGTTGCATTAAACATTAGCTGGAGATGAGACAATTCTGTTCCAGATTAAGGACAAACATAATAGATGTGTCCTTTATTATGTCCTCCATGTCCATTATTATAACTCACCGCATTAATTAGCACTTGAGGACGACGCGGCGGGGTGGAGCTGCTTACTCATCTACGCAGCGTGGCGCCCGTCGGTTACCCGAGTGAGACAGGTGGCGCTGGACGGCGAGCGAGCACGTGCCCTCCTCTCCATAGCAGTGTGCGCTGGCTTCCTCCCGCCGCCATCCTCTCGCCGCCCACCCACGCGGCCGCTGCAGATGGGCTCCGGTTTAGCGCGAAGCTGAATGCTCCTTTGCCTCCACGGTGAAAACACACTTCCTCTTTCTAATCCCGCCAACTCGAGGTCACGATGCCGACACGGTTTGCTGGCGGGACAAAACGCCGGGGCAACTTCCTTCCGTTGTTTTTGTACGCAGTGACAATAGCTAACAAAAACCAACCAAACAGGCCGAGCTTTCCACTTCTAGTGAGGCAAAAGGTGTTTTTTTTCCCCCCCTGATCCTTAAAGTGCATCTCTGAGTAAATGACCTAAGGCCTCGACGCACTGCGATGTGAGATAACAGCAGCCTCGCAGGTTAATTGCTCCTCGCACACAGTGTCGCGTTGCACCTCCCGAGGTTGCAATCTCGGCCACGGTGAGGCCGCATGTTTGGCAGATGAAGTGACACACAATGCAGTTGGTTCCATTTTAGACGTTGGGGCTAAAGCCACATTGTGAGAATTGGGCCCTTTATTTCTGTCTTTTATCAGAGAAGCACTAGAATGTACATATGTGGACGCAGAGATTCTCCCACTATGCGGCGCTTTTTGTTTCTATCAGAAATCTCATTACCGCTCCCAAAACGACATTGTGGAGAAGCGATAAATTATCCAGCTCCTGGGGTCGTGGTGCTGGAAGTACTCGCTCACAGATAAAACCATCCTGAAATCTTCCTTCCTCAGGCAGCTTAACACCAATTCACGACATAACCCACTTATCCAGGTGACCCCGATGACCCTCAGGTCACCGTAATGTGGGAACAACAAGTCCATGCGACAGAAGAGAAGCACCTCTTGGGTGAGTAACAAAACGACTTTAGGATTAAAGTACGTCTAGATAATAATAAAGCTATATTATCTGGTTACAGTGTTGAAAGTCTAGATACCATATTTGTGTTGCTGCCCCGCTTCGTCAAAACAGAATGTTTTTGTTTCAGCCCCCCCGCGGTTGGTAATTTATTCAGACATTTGGATTTGAAATAAATGTCTAGCGTTTGGTGGTCCGTGGGATTGTGGGTGATACGAGTGAACGATCCCTGCGGTTTCTCTTGCTCCATGCTGAAGAAGTGTCATAAATCCCATCAGGGCAATCAGAGTCTCCAGCTGACCCGACCTGCCTCCTAGTCACCCGCCCGTTATTAAGCTCGCCTGGTTTGAAGAGCGAGAGAGAAAACGGCGAGAGAGAAAACGTCTCGTTATGAAACTCGAAACGTGATCCGGTGCGCTGGTTGAGCTGTGAGCAAACCCGAGGAGTTCATTCAAAATGCCAATTTTGACAATGATGAACCCGGCATTTCAAACCGCGTTTGGAAGCAGCACAGATTTTTCCGGGAGCATGACGCGTGCAAAGGACAAAAAGGTCAGACTTGTCAAATTCACACACTTTCAGTTGAGTTGAGTGAACACGCTGACCTCCTAGAGGGCGGCCGTCAAGATGAATGGTCAACATCAGCTCCCTGAAGGAAACAAAGGCGCTTTAGAACCTCCCCTGTGCTTCCGCGTGGATCAATGGGGAGCTCCAGCACTGTACGTCCGTTCGGCATCCTCCATTGACTAGAGGTTATGGAGATTAAGTGCTCCTTTTTTTAGTTCTCGGGCTACGACAAAAGGTCCAAAATAGGATTAAGCGGAGACGTGAAACACTACCACTGCTAATGCTACGGCCCTTTGAGAATCTACTGGCAATGAGAAGAGCCGCGAGGCTGCAGGGCAGGATTACGGAACAAAGAGATGGAGGGATATGGAATGAGGTTTGGGAGCTCCACCCCTCCTCTCTCCTCTCTTTTTTCATCTTGACGGGCCAAACCCCCTTAAATGCTTCCCGTACCATCAAATTCTGCTCTGCTGGGCAGCATCGTTGTTCGATCCCTCATGTCCCGTGGCGTGCCGTTTGTTGGTGGATGATTCGGTGGCGCACGCGGTTCATTCAAGAGGCGAGAGCAGCGAGAGGGACGTTCATTCATCAAGGCAAAGTGCAGAGCAATAGAGGCCGTGAGCGTAAGTTAGATGAATGGCTAATAACCTCAAGGAGGGAGATGATTCATCACGTCCTGGAATTAAGTTCATTAAAGACCTGCCAGTGGGCATTCATCAGTGTCTCCTACTCCAGATGATCTTGTCACAGCATACCTGTAAGAAACAGATTTTATAAAAGTTCAAATACGTTAGGTCAAAAAATGTCATGGAAAAAAAGAAGTAAAAAACACTATTCAATATTCAAGATGTTTTGAAAGGTTCAAATTGTCAAGTCAAAAAATCTCCAAATATTTTAGGTAAAAAAAAAAAAAGTCCCAAAAATATTAGGACAAAAAATGTTTTGTCGGAAGGATGTTATCAAAAAAAGATTTTAAAAAATGGGAAAAATGTAAAAAAAATATGTCAATGTCAAAAAATGGCAGAAAAAGCGAGGTCAAAAAACATTTTGAAAATACTTTTTTTTTTTACATATTATGTCTTAGCATGTGCTTTTCATGACTTGCCATACAATTACTTTAAAATAAATGTACATATATGTAGTATAGTATAGGATAGACTTTTCGTGGGTATTAGTCAACACACTATGGTATGACTTTTTCAAAAAAAAGAAGGAAATTGTGGGACTTATGACATCTAACCACTTACACTTTTTTTCTTCAAGTGCTGCTTCATTTGGGAAGCACGGATGGCGCCAGGTCTCTTCAAAGAAGTGGGCACAACAGTTGCTGGGCAGCCTGACATTTCCTGCCAGTTGACAAAAGCCACGAGTCAACAGGCTGGTGAAATAGCCTCGGGCCCGGGCAGGCTTAGCTCCGCTTCCATCCGACCTCTTCCAGACTTTCAGACGCGTTTGTCTGACTGTCGATGAAAGCATCCCCTCGCTTCCTTCCCCGATGTCGATGTGCATTCTGTCCAATGCCATAAGTGTTTTATTTATAATTTATACAAAAATGAAAACAAATAAAGATGTAGCAAACCTTTTCCATCACACTTTGTCTTGTTAGGGTTTTCTTGCAATTTACTTTACAACACCCTTTTATGACTATGCCAGATATATGTTGTGCTATTTTAATGACGATTTGACATGTGCCTCTATAGTCATGTACTTGTCTTGGTATGTCATACAACAATGTATTGCAAAAAGTAGATGTAGTGTATGAAGTCTACAGCATTTTAGAAAGCCATGACTTTCAAATGTCAAAGACATAAGCTATTGTAATGTGAAAAACGTATAGAAATTAGTTAATTAGTTAAAAACCAAGTGATAAAGGTCAGTGTCATATGCACAGTAATACAAATTGTGAAATAATCATAACTTCATAGTAAAAGGATGTAAAGGTAGGAATGTATTTCATTTACAGCCATTATGGTCCAAAAACGAGCAGCACATTAGAAAAGCTGCCACCAAGGAATTTATTACATTGAAGTGGTTGCCGATTTAAATGGTTTAACCCTAAAATCATGAATTTGTAGCGTTGTGTGTCCATCTACGAGATCAAAAAACGCATCTAGAACACAAAGATCGTGTAAAGCAGACCCTCCATGAGCAGCCAGTGGAGCGGATCTGCTGCCTACACACACCAACGCCGGCCTGGGAACAAACAGCCGCTCAGCGTAACCGTGCCAACCGAAGTGGAAACTCCCCCACGCGTCCATTCATGTGAGGATGTACAGCCATCACCGCTTCCTCACAATGCCGCCTGTGCTGCGAGGGCACACGGAGGCCCGGCCGGAGACGAGCCATCGCTAGGCAACAGGCAGAAAGGGAATCCGCGGCACAGACTCCGTTAGCGCTGCTGCAGCGAGCTGTATGGGCTCATGACGGATACCGGAGTGGATGGAAGGGGGAAAGAAACCCCCCCCAGAGGGTGTGATTCTCTTCGGTCATCTTTCGTGGTGTAGGGCAGCACGAAAGCAATGTGCTCTCTGGGGAATTAAGAGCATATCTGAGATCAATGTTCCTTCCCCTTCAGGTTACCTGGACTCAGATTTGGTGCCAAGAAAACAACGGTTTACCTAAAGTATATCCTCATAATGGCGCTTTTAAGAAAAGGTTTGGTATTTGATGCGGGGAATTCATCTCTCACAACGATCCGATGCCAACGTTTTTAGAACATGCCTTCAAAGCAAGGTTGGTGGTTCGAGTCCCGGCTGCCCCATGTCCCAAGTCAACGTGTCCCCGAGCAAGACGCATCACCCCTAATTGCTCCCTGGCCCAGAAATGTAAAAAAAAAAGCCATGTCTTAAAAATGTAATGTTAGTCGCTTTGGATAAAAGCGTTTGCTAACGCTAACTAACTAATGACCTGTAATGGAAGAATTCTTTGCACGAAGCCCAAATTTGCATCTCCAGGTCGTATATTGGAGCGTTGCAATGAGACTGAGCTTGCTGGAGGTTGTGAGCTTTTGCTATTTGAGGAGATCCATGTTTTTTTTTTTTTTTTAAATCAAACCAGGGGGAGTTGAACTGACAAAGAATTCTACCCCATAAACATTACCAGGTTTTTCTGAATGTGAGGGTGGATGTTCAATTGGGTCTCTAAAAAACCTGCAATGTAATTTGATGTAATTAACCAAATAATTTGCTTTATTGAACATATAAGATGCCTTCACACAGGTAACAAAAACAGACAACCGATATGCTTGAAATGAAAAAAGAAAAACCCACATTTTATTGCACTTAAGTTATAAGAAAATAAAATTCTAAGTGAATCAAACAAATACACAATCCCTTTAAAGGTCTGTTTTCTTTTTTGCCAGGCAGTTTACATTAACTGAAAAAAAAATAAAACACCTGCAACAAATCTGATTTCTCAAACCAGATCATAAATTAAAACAGAAGAAGAAAACAACGAGAGGAGATAGAGCAAGATTGTTTTCTTTTTTTTCTTTTTTAATATACAGTGTTATACCACTTTCACAGTTCAGCTTGAGTTGTGACGCTTGGACACTGAGACCATTTTTCGTTTGGCTACAATGTTTCTGTTCACGTTTGTTGCCACTGACGATCCTCGAGGCTCCGACTGCGACACATGTAACACTGAGACTCCCGTCGGTCCGATGCTCGTGGATGGGCCTCCTCTGGTGGCTTCCGACCATCCTTTGGAATTGAACAACAATCCCCACGCCCGCGGCCCCCCTCCCCCCCCCCTCCACAAAAAAAATACGGGCAGGTTCTTTTTCTTCTCGCGGTAAAAAATCCGAAACATCTCGCAATTTGTTTTCTTTCTTTTTTGCCGCGCCCGTGGCATTTGTACGTTTCCCCCAAAGGAATGTGTTTTGCAAGTTGCCCGTTAACACGCCAACACACGCACTCATGCACGCACACGCCAACAGCGCCCATCCCCCTCGCTTTCCTCACAGCGGGCGATCCCGCCGGTGTCCGTCGGACGCGCTCCCTCCTCTCAGCCTCGTAGAGGCACGTTTGGCTCAAGTTTCAGTGGCAAAAAACAAACAAAATAAAACAGAAAGGTTGGATGTTATCTTTTGTGATCTTTTGTTCCTTAAAGTCCAAACATATAGAGTTCAATTTGGAATTTTGCCTGGGACTAAAACGTCGCAGCAAGTAAAAGTTCCATCTCTCTCTTGTTTCCATTCTTCTAGCAGCATAAATACAGTTTGGCCACTGGGGGAAAACGGTCGAGGGGGAGGGAGGGAGGGCGAGAGGGGGGGGGGGGGGGGGGGGGGGGGGGGGGTCAGGGGCATTAGTCTACAGCACGTTGAGCAAAGACCCTTTACTGCTCCCCCCACTACTGCGCCCCCCCCCCCCCCCCCCTCCCCGGCTAGACTGCAACTCTCTGGACAGCACTGACGTTTGTGAGGAGACGGAGCTCTAAACTCAGGTATTTAGAAAAAGAAGGAAGAACAAACAACTCAAATTAAAGAAGAGGAGGAAAAACCCTTGTGACATAATGACAGCAAACCTAAACAGGTTATTAATACTGGGATTTGTTGCTGTTGGCAACCGCAAAAAAACAACAAAAAAAAAAAACCTTTCATGTGATGAACCAAGAAGATGTTGAAATTCACAGTTGTGTTTGTGTGCGATATTGTAAAGAAAACCGAGTGGAGAACAATAAGAACGGAAACAGTGACGTGAATGGAGCCGAATGACAATCGCAGCTCCTCAGGTGCAACCGTGTGTCTGTGTGTGGAAATGTACCTTTAAACGCCTCCCACCTGCCGCAATCTTTTCCTACAGTGAATGTCTCTCGGTTGGCCTTTGTGTTCTGTGTGTGTGCGCGTTTGTGTTGATGGGAGAGGGAAGGGGGGGGGGGGGGGGGGGGGTTAAAAAATAATATATCTCTGTACATCTCAAAATATGTCAGGCTTGCGCGAAACCAAGTCTCTGTGCAAAGCGGACCCCAAAACAAAGGGGCGGAGAGTCCCTTCGGAAGAGCTCCGTCGTTCTCAGTCAGTCCGTTCTTCCTCTCGTCTTCCTCCCAGCCAATCGGGACAGATCGCTCAGGCCCCTCCCACCCCCACCCCCACCACCGCCTCATTTCCTCGATCCCCTCCGGCTCCACCGCTAACTGGTGGCAGAGAGAGTGAGGGTGGGTGGGCAGGGGGGGGGGGGTTGAGGGTCTGTGGCTCCGTCAGTAACATTTAGCCCAAAGGGGCCCGGGAGTTGATGGGTGGAGGACGGGTGGTGGTGGTGGTGGATGGTGCAGAGTTCTCTGGGCTTTGGCTCTCCGGTTTCTAGGCGCCTCGTCTCCCGTCCCCGCTCTGTTTCTTCCCCTCTCGCTGTCCCCTCCTCCCCCCCCCCCCCCTCACTTCATGTCCACGTCAAAGTCCAGCACCAGCAGCTTGGTCTCCTCCGTGCCGTTGCGGCTGCCGACGGCGCACACCAGCTTGGTGTTGGAGGCCCGGATGCGCCACACCACGCCGCCGCTTCCGCCGCTCTCCAGCGTCACCAGGTTTCGGATGAACTCGCCCGTCTTCAGGTCCCACAGTTTGACCGTGCCGTCGTCCGAGCTGGTGATAACAAAGTTCTTGTTGAACTGCAGGCACGTCACGGCGCTCTGGTGCTTGTGGGGGCCTGGAGCGGGACAGAGACACGGATCCTTAGAAGGACTCGGAGCAAGTCATTTGGAATAAATGAGAAAATGAGACATGGATCCAGAATAACAAACCCGAACCAAAGCCTGTGTGACAAAGGGAGAACCCCCCCCCCCCCCCCCTCTCCGGTTGTCACGGCGGCTCAGCAGCTCTGGCAGGAAGCCACACTACGTGAAGATGGCGGCGGCGGCTAGAGCACTTCATTGAGGTGACTTTATTTGTGACGCCACGCGTGCACCGACTTGAGATTTCCCTACGGGCTTGAAAACGATATCTTAATTATATCAATTAGGGCGACACAAAGCACAACAAGCGCAGAATCAAGTGCTGGCAAATTAACTGCTTTGATTTATTTATTTATTTTACTGGAGGTTGCTATAACAGCTCTTTGATTCTGACAAATTGCATTTCTCTCCGCTTTGACAACCCATTCGGAGAGAATCCGCTTTCAAATCTCACCATCAACAAGCTGTCCCATATTTCTCCGTCTCTGGTTAGTTCAAAGGCGGTGTTATTTTCTCGAGTAGACAACCCCCCCCCCCCACCCCCCAACATGCCCGCCCCTCTCCTCCCCACCCGGCATTAGCACAACAAAGGCCGCTGCGTCGTTACCTCTGCTGCCTTCAGATGACAGTGACGACCTTGTTGTCGGCGCTTTGTCTTATCCAAACACGCTAATGAACGCCACGAAATTGTCCGCTGACCCAATTCATCCCTTCACTGCAGTGACCCTCTCTCTGTCCCTCCCCTCCGTCTCCAGACTCTCACTGGGGCATCCCTTTGTTTGGCGGCGGGGGGTTGTTGGTATTTGTTGAACTAGCATGCGGGGTGGCAGTTTGCTAATGAGGGCATTTAGGTGGGGGCGCTGCTGCTGCTGCTATTCAGCAAAGGATTTCCATCTTCCTGTGAGGCACCAGTGCTGCTGCTGCTAACGGGTTCCGATCTATAGAAATGAGCGTAATGCGGACCAGCGGGCCCGAAAGGTGTCAGCTCCGTACCCCCCCACGCCCCACCCACACACACGCACAGACGCTCACTTTCGAGTCCCATCCTGAGTGCTTTTAATTGTCTTTTATATGGTGCGACATTCTGGACATAATAAAATATACTAAAAAGAAAATGTAAGTAGGTATTTTAGTCATTGAATGGACTGTAACTGAAATGAACACAGGCCGTGTTTCTGCTTCCAGCTTCGAGCCGCCGGCTCAGTCGACTCTATTTTGAGTGCAGGGTGTTGGCCACGGATGTGCTTTGAATTTGGAATTCAGATGCATAAATGTTACAATATCCAAACTCGGACTCACCCTGCAGCGTCTGCAGGCACTGGCCCGTCTTGATGTCCCAGATCTTGACGGTGGAGTCTGCGTTGCCCGAGACCAGGATGTTGTCTTTGAGCTCCATGCCGCTGGTGAGGGACTGATGCCCCGTTAGCGTGTGGATGCAGTTGCCCGTCTCCACGTCCCAGACCCTTATAGACGTGTCCAGAGAGCCACTCACCACGTGGATCCCATCAAACTAGACGGCAGAGGGGATGAAATATATAGATTTTTAAATCAAGTCACCTCAGGGTGACGGTTTACCGACACGTTTGACTTGACAGGCGAGGAGAAGCACGCGGTCTTTCTATTAACAAACTTAAGATTAAACCTGTGGAAACTAGCATTGTAGTCAGAGCATCAATACTTTTAATGCACCAAACAGCCTCCTCTCTCAGGTGCATGGCACTAGCTAAAAGTGCACCGTAATCACAGAGTGGGCGAGAGGACGCCTTAGAGGACACAGGTCTATTCATTTCATATCAAACAGGCTACATTAAAAACGGTAGATAAAGATCAGCCAGGCAGATACAAATGTTACTGCAATCACATTGAGTTGTTTATGGATTTTTCTTCGCTACATTTGCAAAGAAACGTTCATACAGAGAATAGATATTGACCAAGCGACAAAACTCGCTGTAGTGAGCTAACAAGTTTGGACTGAATAGAAAATACGCTCGATCCAACTGGGTTATACGCCATACATCCTTTTAACAGCGTCAGAGTAAATGATTAAAGTGCATCACATAGCTTAGCATTATGTGATATATGAATTAAACATCACTTATTTACATCGGTAAACATACGTTTTTTCCAGCTCTAGTTGATGCAATATTTGACAGTTCAAAAGACTAAACTAGATACTTTTCATGGAGCAACCATTTTAATGAAAATACTTCATTTTGATTGCCAGCTAATTAACCATTAGCTGGCTCAAGCCCATCCTGCTGCTTCTCTCATCCAGCGCGGTTGAACCCCCGTCGATGAAGCGGAGCGCTCACCTGTAACGAGTACACTCGGTTGGTGTGGCCCTGCAGCGTGTGGAGGCAGGTCTCCGTCTCGGGGTCCCACACCTTCACCATGAAGTCGTAGGCACCGCTGACCACCCGCCGCCCGTCGTACTGGACGCATCGCACCGCCGCCACGTGGCCCATGAGGACGTGTAAACACTGACCCGTCTCGATGTCCCAGACGCGCAGCGTGGCGTCGCGGGACCCGCTCACCACCCTGCGGGGCGGAGTCAGACGTTCAATGAAGCGCGAACTGAACGTTGAGCTTCACTTTCCCACACCGGCGAAACTCCTTCTTACGAGTAACAGATTCTGTAGGATTCATTCAAATGCTGACACAGCACTTTCTATTAATTTCTATTTATTTATTTTTATTGTAGGGTTTCTGGTTTCTGTTTTTTTTGTCATTATACAGCGTCTTTGGGTACCTGGAAAAGCGCTATAAAAAATGAAAGTATTATTATATATTATACACAGAATAGTTATGAACATTTTATTCTTTCTTTGAGAAACCTACAGCTCCACATTCATGTTTCTAAAACACAGAAAACTTCTATTTAACTCTTAATAGCAGCCCTCCAGCAGTGTGGAGAAAAAACATACATTACAGGTAATAGGAACGGAAACTCCCTTTAGGCGGAAATGGTTACTAGGTTACTTGTTTTTAACTGAAAACTTCTCATACCGAGGACGTCGTGTGTTGTTATTTAGCTTCCCCTTAACAGACACCAGACGCCCGACCCTACAGAACGAGACGAACATCCTTCCACACTATGAAACGCTTTAAACACACATAACATACTCTTCATCTACAAAACGCCTCACGGCTCTAAGTAGATGGGAATCGCGCGCATGTTTGTTCACGTCTGACTGCAGCTGGGAGCGTTTCCACTGAGTGAGTAATCAGATGCTATACAAAAACCTTGGCGGGCCTTAGGGCGAAAAGAGCACTACGAGTCTCCGGAGTGTAACGCTAAGTGAATGAGTGAGCAGCGGCTCACGGGGTCTGCTTAGTCTCTGAGAGTCTCTACGCTCACTTTCTTAAGAGCCACTGCCCTCTTCGTGGCAGAGAGGCTCTTTTCGCTCGGTGGGATCGCTGTGAAGTCGGCCGTTATTAAAAGGGATAGTTTTCAACGAAACAAGAAGATATTAAATGTAAAAAGTTTACTTTCCTAATTTCTATTAGGAAAAGCCTATAAGATTAATTTCACTCTGTTTTTTTACAATTAACATTGTTAATGGCTTTATTTAAAGAGGCTACCAATGGCTTTTCAGGCAGATGCCAGTTCAACAGAACAAGATTCATATTCCGCTCGTGTATTAATCAACCGTCTTTCGGCTGTAGATTCGGCGGTGAGGTGGGCGTCCTACCTTTTCTCGTGTAGGTGCATGCAGCGCACTGTTGAGGTATGCCCATAGAGGGTGTGGATACATTCGCCTGTCTCTGCGTTCCAGACCTTGAGTGTGCGGTCGGTGGAGCCGCTGATGATGATGTTGTCCCGCATCTGGGACGACCACACGCCGCCCGTGTGGCCCACCAAGGTGCGCAGACACTGAAAAGGTGGCAGAAGAGGAAGGAGCGGTCAGCATGCTTCCGCCGCGGACGCTGGGTCAGATAAGAGTTATCGGACATTTTGCTCGTGAATCAGATTGGAGTTGGTAAGATCACATCTGCACATTTCCCCCACTGTTATCCTCCTATTTGTGTGTCCTTTTTCAGGGAAAGACGAACAGTCTTTAAAATCCATGCAGCCGGGAAAAGAACATTTCTGGATCTTCTTGGAAAAGCAGACGATTCACAACGGCCTTCAATTAAAGAATGCACCCATTCATCCTCATCAGGGACGGTAGATTAGTATTGATTAAAGCGGTTATGGAAATCCTTCTGATCAATTGAATTTGCGTCTCCTCGAGCTCTAACTCGCCCCTCGATTTTAATCGGCCTAAATGCTTCAAATGGAAATCATCTGGGCAGCGGAGCGAAGGAGGCGGACGAGGTCGGTGGCGGATGCTGTGGCCGCGTCAAGTTCGGCGCGTTCATGGAGCGTTTAACGCGTGACACAACCTGAGCGCAGCCGATAAGCCGCTGGTGGCGACGCCGGGCGAGAGCCTTTATAGCAGCGAGGAGCAGCAGGACGAGCCCGTCGGCGCGATAAAGAGGATCACTTCATTAACTGCGTGCGGGACAACGTAGCGCGACCCGACAATCGACCTCGCCGCAGCGTCAGAAGTCTCCCGCTTTGTCCCAACGGCCCCGTTTTCTAAGCTGTCCGCCGTAGTGAGATCTAGACCGCTGCAGTTGCAAAAACAAATGGAGCTAAATTAAAATGTATTTATTTAGACAGGGATGATTTCTAGGGAAATTGCGGTACATTATTAGGATTATTTACAGGCTTCATTATTGTTGCCCGCCATTCATCTTAATCTGCACACATTCTGTAATTCTCAACCATTTTCCTTGTCAATCGAAGTGTTGCAAAACAAATTCCCAGTGATTAGAGCCCAGCGAGTTGTCAAACACTGCGTGGGAAGAGAGTACCTGAAATGGAGGACTTAAGCCTCTTTATCGGTCTATGAAACAAACATACAATGTCCCTGAGAGAGAAAGAAGATGTGCATTCTTAATAAACCCATCCTTACAAACATGAGTCTTTATACTGCGCTTACAATTTGCATTGTGATTTCATCCATTTAAAGTCGGAGCTGTGGGAGAAGCTCCAGCTTAGCAGCTCCAGCACACTTAAGTCTGGTCACATACTGCTGCTGTTTTCTTTGTTTTGAAGAAGAAAAAAAAATGCATCCTTTGCATTAGCAAGAAAAAGCAGAAAAATGAGCAATACCGGGACTAAAGGTGACGGAGCGAATGATCTGCAACGGTTAAAATAAACCACCTCACCTTATAGACTCACTGCACGATTAGAAGGTCACCTGGGGTGAGGGCGACTATTGCAAAGGCTGCTTTAAGGACGAGTCACGTGTTTTCCCATCATTTTAAAGCACAGATTTCAAAAGTTTCTCAGCAACGACAGAAGCACTACAAAGGGAAAGATCTCAGATGTCCCTGGGCGGTGCCTGTGCTTCTCCCACGGCTCTAATCACACGACTCAAAAATAGATTGTCTAAATGTAGAAACCGTTTTTTTGCCAATGCAAGCGCTATGTAAACGTTGAAATAACAGCTAAGCTACGTGCAAGAATGGTCTGAAGATATGGTATTTAGTGGCTGATTGCCAACACGAGCAGTTATCACGTCAAATATGCGCGGATGACCTGTACCGTAACGGTATCCCAAACGCAACGTGGCATCTCTTCTAGTTAACGAAGAGGAGAAGTTAAAGTGGGCATCTGGCAGAGGAACCCTCTCCCTGGCTTAAAGGCAGCACTCAGGTCTGCCATCTCAGATGTCGGCCCTGTTAAGCACCAGGCCGCCACTACGGGGGCAACGAGATGTGTGCGGCTGTGTGCGCGTCTATCACATCATCCATCTCTGCCGCTGGGGGACACGCAGAGACAAAGGTCCATCAGAGAAAGACAAGAAAGCCTTAAGGTGTCGTACGAGCATCCGCTGCTTCAGCAGGAAATCCGGCCTTTGAAAATCCCGTCAGACTGCAAATCTGATAAATCTCCTTTAATCTTCACTCTCCGGTGTTTGTTAAATCTCTGATGCAATACTTTCACCGCGCTCAAATCCCCATTGTCCCACTGATCGCTAAGCAACGGCCCAGTGCCTCAAGAAGGTGCGGAGGCATTTACATGTAAAGTGCTCATTTAATAATTCAAATTTCCTCACAGCAGGGGTCCAGTGCCCCGTGTTTTATACAACGAGATAAATCAAGAGACAAAACATCAGCGATTAACTTTGTCTTGGAGATGTGGCAATCCGGCACCGCCGAGGATTTATTGAAATGTATTAAAAACAAGCCGCGTCCATGCAAACAACGCTGTCAATATGAGGAGACAATTTGCTCCAAATAAGACCACTTGATCCACGCCGCATCGTCCCAGCACGGGAGCGTCTTTTTGAACCGTTCCAAATTGAACAAAAGCTTTCTACGGAACAGCAGCAAAAGTGGCCGAGAAGAAATTGAAGCTGTTGAGTTGAAGCTGCTCTGCTTCTGCCACACCAATTTATTACTCCGTCCACTCCCGTTTTAAAATCGTGTTCCTGGAGTGAAAGTCTCTCCACTCAGGGAAAAAAAACTAAAAACGACAGAGCGTCTGAACCAATTTACCCGCGTAATCCGTCTCTCGTTACCTGCCGCCAGGTTTCAAAAGAAGAACCTCGACAAACAAACAGAGCTCCTCATCTCTGTTGATTAGCGGGCGGCTATCTCTCATCGATCCAATCGTGACCGAGGCCCGAGGTCTGGCGTTAGCGGCCGAGCTGTGCAAAGTTTCCCTGAGCGGCCTCTGAAGTTGGAGGGCTGGTGCGAGAGCTAACAACGCCCAATGAAGGTCCAACCCGTCACTGATGAAAGAAGATTACAGAGGAGCCGTTGCTTGCAAAATGGAGGACAAGAGGAAAGGATATCGACAGGTGCAAATCACCACTTTGCGGGCCGTCGATCTCGCTGGAGACGGCTGTCGGCGAGGAACGCGTAGCAATAGAGTCCTCAAACCGGCGGCAGAGACCATAAAGACTGTCGACAGCGAAACAACAAACCGGTTGCGTGTAGTATTTTTACCTGTACGTTTTAGCGGCTTCGACAGACTCTGCTGACGGGGCTTAAGTGGCCATTGGTCCTCAGTGGGAGAGGCTCTCCCTTGTGTCGAGAGCCGAGGGAGCAAAGAAATGAAACCCACAGAGAGGTTTGTGCTCTGGATACACCACCCAAACAGAGACGGATTCCGGTTCATCCCCTCCTCTCGACTGATGTAAACAAACGAATCTTAGGCGGATTAGCGCCGCCGGGAACCACAGGCGACGTACCGCGCGGCTGTGACGTCGAACCCAATGCGGGGAGGCTTCGCAGAAAGCCTTTGAGCCGGCCGGCCGGCGGTGATCTGACTCATCGCAGACTTCCACCGCCGGTGTTTATCCGCTGCAGCTGTAACTCGGCAGCCCGTCACCCCGATGCTGCCGGGTGGAGGAGGGCCAAAATCGCGTTCCATGCCTATCTATCTTTACCAAGATGGATGACAGCCAACTTTGCTATTGGTGAGTAGCAAAGACAGCTACGGCCTCGTCATCGTGAAGAATATCAACTTCTCCAAAAGGCTTTCATACAAATGTATTTTAATTTGGGTTCACAGCTCCACTAATCTCATTATTCGCCAAGTAAAAGGAATAAGCAACAACAAACTACAGAGGATACGTCTATATCTAAATGGAGTCTGACACAGAGGCATTAAAGAGCAGCGATTCACAACAATCTGTGACCCGCTCTCCTTCACCACAGAACAACCGCTGCTTTTCTTTCTAATACACTGCAGCGCTAAGCTGCAGCCGAGTCCTGCGTAGCTGCAGCAGCCTCGGTGATGAATACTAACACCTCTTGCAGACATGTGCTGTGTAACAACTCGGCAAATCCACAAAGTAAGCGGAGGGAAAATAGACACAATGGAGTCTTACCAGTTTCTACCTGACGGGGATATTATTATCAGTTACTAACTGTGTTGATGGTACACAGAGCCAAGTTTTTAAATAATTACGATGACTCTTATCCACCTCCCGATAAACAATTCAAATCAGTGAATTCTGCTTGATCTTGCCGCCAATCCATTAAGGTCTGACCACAGTTCAGAAGAAAAGGAAAAATCCATTACGATAAAAGCAGAAAAGAGGACACGGAGGACGCAGCGGACCCGTACCTTTCCTGTGATGGCCGACCAGACTTTGAGCGTGTTGTCGTCGGAGCCGCTGACGATGCGGTTGCCACAAAACTGGAGGCAGGTGATCACATGGTCGTCGTGACCTTTCAGCACCTTCGGATGAGACGGAGCAGGAGAGATGCAGTGAGGAGGAGATGGACACGACGGGGAGGACGCAGCATGACACGGCACGGCTTGAGACTGACAATGAGGCGTCTCTGGTGCTTTGTACATCAAAGGGGAGATAAGGGGGAAATGTCACCAAGTGCCTCGGGTGTACCTGGCTCTTTAACCGCGCGCGCGTGCGTGCGTGCGTGCGTGTGTGTGTGTGTGTGCGTCACAGGACTGCTGCAGGGGAGTCTGAGGAGCATCAGTGGCGACTCATCGGGGATCAGCTCTAGCATGCTGCTCAATGCTTTATGGGGGAACTTCTTCTTCATAAAGTCTTTACCTTGGAGGACAATTAGTTCACCCCGTGCTGCAGCTTAATTATCATTCGACGTGAACACTTGGGAGAACTGAGCTCGCACTAACTTTGCATCAACTTTCTGAGACTCAAAAGCCATTTCGTATCATCCACCCACGGTGGAATTTCCGTTTGAAGGCGAAGCTACCTTGGGCGATTTGAGGTCCCCTCTCCTCCAGTTGGTGTCTATTCGGTGCTGCCTGATGTAGGCACTCTTCCAGGGGCTGTGAGTGAAGCCAGGCTTGACGATTTTCCTCTTCTTGAGGGGCAGAGGCTCGTCGATGCCTGTGAGGAAAAACAGACGCAGGCAGATGGGATTTTAAGGCTCATGTTTGTTTTTATTGTCCTCCAAAGGTTTATCTTAAAACCTGGTACAACCGCCTTTTTAAGCACTGCGTTGCCCACAGCTCCATAAAGCTCGCGCTTCCGCCGCCTGGCATCCGATGGCGAAGACTCGCGACTCACCTTCTTCCCTGCACTTCTCCCTCCACAGCAGGTTGTCTTCTGCCAGGATGCGCCAGTAGCGACACGTCTGGGCTGCTTGAAGGAGGTCCTTCGGTTCCAGGAACGACAGCACGTACAAAGCCAGCTGTAGAAAGGCGGGGGATGCGAGAGGTGTGAATGTAAAAAGAGACGGGACACATTGTTCACGGCAGCGGGTGAGTGCAACAGTACCAACACCTCACGCGGCGAGAAGTTTGAAGTAAGTGAATGACACGATGACAAAGGTACAAGCTGTGTGAAAAAGATTAACAGGCTGAATTAAGGAAAACGGTATCACCAGAAAACTGACTCAGCGTTTCTGTTAAATCACTCAACAGGAGCCACACTGCCGTTTAATAATGTCGGGGCCAAAGTTTGTTAAGCCAAAGCAAGCAAGTTTGACTCTGTCCACCAAGTTTACTGCAATTTAATCATAATTAATTATGAATGAGTAGAATCAAGATAGTTGGGACCTACACAGCTATTTGCAACAGATGAATTCAGAGGTCAATCACAAATGTATTAATTGGATTAAGCCATGAAGTCAAAGTCTGCCCGACGTGAAGGTCAATACACCTTGACGAAAGATTGAGACGTTTTTCTTTTTTAATATCCAACTTCACGCTGCTCAGAATGTACCCTCTGAAAAACATTTTAAAGAGGGTTGAGTGTCACCATGAGCTTTTTATGCTTTTGTCTACCTGCTGAAGGCTTCTAGCTATTAAGAAAGTTCAGTTTTAGGGTTATTTCCAATAACTTGCCCGGGACAAGAACCACAAACCTTGAGTCTAAGCCTGTCGTCGTTACTGGGATTCAGGACATTTCAAAACTTTAATGAATGGACCTCGAGCTTCCACTGATTGCTTTTAAAGCCCGACACATCGCCTCCTGAAGGTTCTCTTCAAGGTTTCAATTTCAACTGCATCTGCAGGGATTGTCCTGTTAAAATTACTTGACGGACCCCGGCGATACATTTCCAGCTGCTCTGTCGAAGAGAACCGACAGGATCATCAAGAGGAGGCAGAGGGAACAGGCTAAAGAAATAAATTTAAAAAGTAGAGAAAGAAAACAAAATGAAAAGAGGCTGAGGACGCACGCGACCCTGTCGCGCTCCTGTTTGGCTTCAGGGAGCTAAAGCCAAATGAGCGATGCTCGACTTCTTGCCCGGCATTGCCTCACTCTCCACGCTAGCAGCCCCCAGCTTTCATCCCAATACCTGCCAAGGGGGGAGTCCAAGTGTTTAGCATTTGATCAGCTGCACCAGATACGGTGCATTGAGGCTGTTTCGTAAGAACCCCCAATGCGATCTTATCGTCGGTGTGCCACTTCAGAGTGTTTGTATTCTCAGTTCTGATGCAGAGGGAAAAAACAAAAAAAAACAAAGACACCCCGCTACGGATGTCTTTGAATGATCTGAAGGAAGATAGTGACAGGATTAAGGCCGCAGCGGAAGCCTCGTCTCCGTCACGTACTGAACATTAAAAACGATGTCTGCCCGAGGACGCAGAGTTAAGATGAAGCTGTGCGGCGGATAAAAGGGGATTCAGGGGAACTCACCTCTTTGGGCAGCAGGGAGATGAAGTCTCGCTGAAACTGCGGCTCGATCACCTGCATCATATGCTTGACTTGTGTGGGCTCACAGCTGTCAATCAGCTCATCCAGCGCCAGCAGCTTCTCCGGGCCGGTCCAGCTCTGCAACGCAAAGAGGGACCGTGTTCAAACCGCGGGGGGGAACAACAGCTACACGACATCAAACGCTGGAAGGTAATTGCTTGAGTGCTGCCATTGAGGGGGATCAATGCAAAACAGAGGTAGTGAGAGCGGCATCAACTGCTGCTAACTGACTACTGGTTGTATTCTGCTGGATTTTATTGCTTCATTTAACTGTTTTACTGTGCAATATCCCCTCGAAATATTTTTAAATAACCGAAAAACATTTTTGTGGCAATTCACTAATTGAACTCACACCTGGATTTCTACAGCACCAGCTGTAAACGCGGAGTGCTCACTGAATTTCTTGCGGTCAAAGTTGACGCCCTGGGGTGCTCGCGTCAGCACTTTTTTCTTAAACTCTTTACGGCCTCCTGCTGCGCGTTGCTGCAGGCACCTGCCCACTTCTACAGGCCGACACAACCGTTGATCATTTAATCACCAGAAACCAGACCCCACCAACAACATTACAAGGCCTACAAGGGTTCAAACATTCAGCCGTTCGCTGGATGTTGGACCCGGCTGCCGCGGTTGTTTTGGAGCGCTGGGGTCTGATAGTGATTACAGGCTGGGAGTCTGGCTGCTGGCACATGTAGACTACCTGTAATTTGGCAGCTTTAGCCAGAGGAGCTGGGAACAGCTACTTATCAATTTTCTTCACAGTGTTTAAGCAACGACAAGTTTACGATTCACAAAATTGGATGTGATTTTCTTTGTTAAAAAACGGAAAACCCGCCAGTTTCTAGTTTGCTTTGGACTTTCTTTTTTATATGCTCCTTTACTTTAGGTATGCTGCATTTGTCTGTGTTGTAAATGCGGCAGCTTCCAGGATCAAATACAGTCCTCCATTTAAGCTTCATCATTTTTGCTCAAAGATTTCTCCCCCAAAGTGCCATTCCTCTCCCTGCTCCAGTTACTCATTTCCAAAATCCCCAAATTTGTTTTAAATATTGAGAGCGACCGTGACACAGACCAGGAGTTGACACCTGGGATCACGGTGCTGACACTTGAACATGCAGAGGCTCCACGGGTGTGAACCACTTGTTCACACCTGATCACTTTGAGGAGCTGCTGATAAAAAGACCTCAGTTCAGACATTCAAGGTGTGTTCAAGTACCGGCTGAAAAACACTTCATTTCGTTGAGAGCCACGACTGCTGAGAGGCAATAATTGCATCCTTTATGCCCGCGATGACAGCGTGTGGTTTCTCGTTTGGATCAAGCCAGATGTGGTCGGGCACAGAGAGATTTGGGGAAATAACTTAGTAACAAGTAATCCCACACACAATCCCCAATAAAAACTCTGTACTTATGAAACACGCCAGATATAGTGTGTTAATTAGTCAGCTTTGGAGGTGCCGGTATGCTAATTTAGCACTGTAGGACGCAGCCAGCTGTTTCCAGTGTTGATGGTAAGTGAAATAGATTGAAGCGATAAATCCCCGTGCGTGCCGTATTGACCCAGAAATCTTTGCTTGCAGCTGCAAAATCTTTATTACTGCTTGCAGTGATTCAATCTCGCAGTGATGTACATGGATGTGCGGGAGAGCTACCTTCAGCTTGGCTTTCCCTTGGTGGCCAGGAGCAATGCGACCCGCCGGTAAAAACATTCCCTTTGCTTGTGTCGCAAACTGGGAAAAACCCCAAATAAGAACGGACCGTTAAGGGCGAGGATCTTTTATAGTGTTTGGCCCGGCTGGACTATTCAGCCGTATTTACTCGGGCCAAAAACATACCAGCGGGTTGAGAGCGAGGACGTAGCGCTAACTGCAGCTTACCCGCAATGCATCCTGGTACATGTAGGCAGTGCACTGAGGAATTTAATACTTCAATTGACAACATTAACCATCATCACCGATTGGACGACAACAACATGGAGTGTTATCGGTCTTACAAGGGCGACCGACTATATATCCCAAAAGAATCCTCTAATGTAACATGTGACTTTGCCATGACCATGTTTGTCCTTGTGTTTGTCTTTTAAAGGGAAAACCCGCCAAATAACCAAAGTAGTTACAGGACAGAACATGACAGAAGGTACAGAGGGAGGTACGAGGTTTAACTGCTTGAAGCCTGGGACGTCAAATTAAAAGCGGCAGCAGGTCGGGCGTGACGGCTAATACGTGTAAAATAAACACGGAGGTGTCACAGGTTGGCCCGGCTGTTCAAAGAAAATGAGTTCAAGCCGTCTCAGGTAATGAACTCCTCGCCAACCTATTATAAAGGAAATCAGAGCGAGCACATGACTGCTGATATGGTAAAATGACGTCCTAGTCTCATGAGGTCTGGAATCATTAGAGCAGAAGTCTAACCTGAAAGAAATGGCTCCATTATGTTGCATTTGAAAACTAAAATTAATTTGAAAATAGGGTCAAATGGAATATGGAGCATGATAAACTATATTATGTCATGTCTTCATAAGTCCAGGGTCTCGACGGTTCTTTTTTTTTTTTCTATTTCGGTGTTTTAAATTCAACCAAAAGACACGTGTGCAGAACTATGAAATGTCCTCCCCGAGTCACGTCAATGGAGACGAGCCATGTCGAGGCCCTAAATAGCTTTGCCTGTATTTTAGGAGAAGGGCTGAGCGAGCAGGCGATGAAACCTCAACTTTTGCACAGAAGACCAAACAAAACAATAGTTCAACTCTTCGCACAGCCTTTACGTCTGCAGTGGAAACAACGGATGTTATCATTTCGCTTACAGGTACGGCTAATTCCAATTCCACGCTACAGCGGTTATGTTAATATGGCGGGCCCGGACAACAAGGCACCAATTATCTCTGAGACTAAGTGAACAATGATTGGGCACCACATCTGCTTTGTGATGAGCTTTTGCTCGAGGGCTTTGGAGTTGCCGGTGGGAGGAAAAGAGGAAGGGAAGAAGAAGAAGAAAAAGAAGAAGAAGAAGAAGAAGAAGAAGAGGAGGACTCCGCTGCGCTCACCTGAAATGTTCGCAGCCATTCTTGGAAACCCGTCGGCGGCTGGATGGAGGTGATGCGCCGCCTCTGCTGACAATTGGCTGTTCTAATGTGGCCAAATGTGGTGGGTGTGGCCGGACACGGGACAATTCCTGTCGGGCTGCAATATACACAGGAGAGGCAAAAACGCTTTAAAACGAGTAATAGAATGATTTCTTTGCAAGCAAAGAGCCGACTGCAGACATTAGAGAGACGGTGAGAAATCACAGCTTTCAACCGGAGGCATTAGGAAAAGAAATGGGAGCATTAAGGGAATATTACAGACATTCAGGATACACTATTGATGACAACAATAACCTCAACATGACAGTGTTTAGTCCTTGATTTCTTTTGCTGCAACAGATATTTCCACTGCACATTTTGAAAACATGGAGAAAAGCGATGGCAAAAACAAAATATTAAATATTTAAAGCTGGACATTAAACTGAAAGCTTTTTTTGCCATTTACATATTAGATTCAGCAATACAAACCCTCAGCTGAAAAAATAATGTTTTGTTTTGCCAAATTAAACCTTTTTTCATTATATACAATATGTGACCGACCAAAGTGTTATAAGAATTAAATCTCTTTAAAGAATATAAAATTAGAAATAAGTATGTTGGACTTTTTTGTTATACAGTTTTAGCCCCAAGAAATCAAAATGTACAAATGTAAATTACATTACTTGTCATTTAGCTGACGCTTTTATTCAAAGCGACTTACAATAAGTGCATTGCAACCATAAGGATACAAACTCAGAAGAACAAGAAACAAGAAAGTGCAATTTCATCAACTAAATCTCAAGACACCGAAACGCTGCAGCCTCAGAACAATGAGGACATCTTTCACTCCTTATCATACATGTTCCTGTTGTGAGAACCCAGATGTGCAAAGCATCACGTGGCATCAAAGGACGCCCGTGTGTCCCTGTAACGTCACGGCAGCGACTGAACGCATCCAGCGGCCTTCATCACATTCACCGTGCCCGCGGCAAAAATGGACAGCTGGGGCTCCATTTCATTATCGATTCATTTTTAATGAATTTTGGAAACCGAGCCGGAGCGAGCTACATGGCAACGCTTACACTTAAGTGACTGTGTTGGGTCTGAATTTTAATGTGGCTGCATGTGAACACGGGCATTAAATATTCAGGGCTAGAGAAACATCTGGGAAGGCTGGCTGGATCATGCAGATACAAAATGATGTGAAGCATCGTTCCGTTTGAAGACACAAAGCCTTGTGCCGCGTGATATCTTTTCATCATCGCCTGTCACGGTAGCTTCATTGAATGCGAGAGTAGCACTAGAATAAGCAGATAAGACTCTTGAATATGTATTTCTAGCGAGATCCTGTGGACCCCAATGCGGTACATGAACGCAGGACGCTGCCGCGTGAGGACACTTGGGAGAGGGTGTGTCTCTGATGAGCGACGGGGAGACTTGTGAAATGTAGCATGCTTTACCTTGGATACTCGGGGCCTTTGCAGGGCTTTTTTCCTGAAGGGAAAGATCGGACCTCGGGGCCATGGTCCAACTTTCTCTTCATCTGAGGGAGAAAAACAAAGAAAAACATCAGAAAATATGTCACAAATCGACACGAGCAGTTCAAAAAAACAAATGAATTTAAATAAAGGGGGCAGTTCAGGCTCATTTCCTATAATCCAACATAACGGCCTTCCCTTTTAATGACTTTTTCTTAATAAAAACAGCGTGTAAGTCACTTTACTTTTTAAAGGACACGCATCACAGGAGGTGCCTTAAACCAGGGGTGGAAGCATAAAATTGCTCAGACTATGTTAAGAAGGGTTAGGATTAGTTTGTTTTAAATCCATCAGTATAATATATATACACACACACACACCAAAGGTCCTGCAACAGCTTGATGGAATAAGGAAATCCAACTTCAATGTATCAGCTAGACATTCAGAAGTATCAACTTGTTCAATAGCAAAGCCACGAAGCACAGTGAGGACCCATCTGTGTAGGCGCTTGTATAAAACCGCTCCGCTTTTATTTGATTGTCTTCTACGTCAGAAGAAGAGACCCCCCGTAATACCCGGAGGCCCTCACGCGCTCACACCCGACACGTCAAGTGTACAGCGTGTCCATGCACCAAAAGATAACCACAAAGAAGCTCGTCGCCGGGAGGACGCAACGGGGTGCGGCCTCCCGGAATTGAAGTTTGATTCACTCGGATACTTGAGACACCTGCGTGTCTGTGCGCGCACACACACACACACACACCACCCAATCACCTACACAACTGTGCAAACAAAGGAGCCTCTGTGTGTGTGTGAGCACGGGCAAAGACTATTTACTTCATCTCATGCCTCCCTCTCACTGGAGAGGCCTCTCGCTACACACGCAAGTGATCACCATCTCAACGGAATAATGGACCTGGAGTGTCCGGCCAAGGTACGAGTTGCGATGCAGAAGTCCTGTTTGGTTTGAGGAAGAAAGAAATAAATAAAAATTCGGCGTGAATGTAATCGTTCAATTTCAGCATCACGAATAACAAAATAAGGCCGTTTTCTCAGCTGGACTAAAATGCAACTTAAAACTGCACTTTAGCACAGAGCACGTTGTTCACAAGGATCTCTTACATTCCTTGGCGTCACAATCTTTTCTTTTTTTTTTTTGTTCTTACAAAAACAGTCATGCCTGTTCTGCCTGAAAACACAACCTGATAATAGCTTCTCCTCAGAAACCGCATTCAAAATAAACAGTCTCCTTCTTTTGAAGCAAATAACATGTTGTGTTCAGATGCATCTTTGGCACGTTATTATAGTATTGGATGCCAAGAATACACACTGGACACGCGACTCCGTATTGTCTGGCTCCTCAGTGTTGCGGTTACACATCTCCCCCCCCGATGTGTGCTTTTTGTTTATCGCTATAAATTTGGGGATTGTGTGTTTGCACTTCAAGTTGTTTGCAGCGCGAGCAGCACCTTCGAGAACCAGCGATTCACAAACGGCTGAATGACGAGCAGCTTATCCTCAGCTGCACACACAGCATCAGGTAGCAACACGGGCTTCCCTATCTCCGTGCTGAATGGATCAATGCACCAAAACGACTCGCACAACTGCGGGCGAGGCCAACGGAGGCATGTGTACATGACCGGCACACGAACTAGATCTGCAGGTTAGATGCCCGCTGGACATCACACTGTAAAATCTGCCCAATGATTTGTGATCTGCTCCTCACGTAGAGCTGAGGGGGTGGGGGGGGGGGGGGGTGTGAAGGGAATTTCCACACACATCTTGAGATTTATTACGAGAAGAAAAAGAGGTTCCGGGGAGGAAAAAAACAACATGTAACGTATTCCAATTGCATTTCAGACGTTTGGTAGGTTTGCATCTGATGTTCCACTCGTCTACGTTTAAAATATCCGGCTGACATCCTGTTTGAGTGCGATGGAATATAAACGTGTGTGTGTGGGGCGGGGGGCTGATAAGATATTCCTACGTGTAAAGATCCAGCTTCTCAAACCCAACTGTCTTGTTCCTCAAGCGGTGATCTCACTCGAAAGGCAGCTCAGTAGGCAGGGAGAGCCTGGGTGTGGATCTGCATGAATATGGTAGTGTGTGTGTGTGTGTGTGTGTTTCCAAGTGGGGGACAACAAGAGGAGAGTTCTGGCTGGCTTTGAGAGTGCGTGTCTGTGTGTGCGCGCGAGCAAGAAATCAAACGCGGGAGTGAAAAAAAGCGGCGCGTAAGCAGCCTCTTCTCGTGTTTCAGCCTGGGAAAAAAAGGTAACCAGAGCACACAGTGTTTGTAAATCACCACTAATCAGTCCTCCCCCCCTCCTGCTTCTTGGCTTCCCTATCTGACCAAAAAGCACGACAGATGGATACACAGAGAGAGTTAATGGCATTTTAAAGACGGCAATCACTCTTACATAACGCGTTGGGTCGTTTCGGCGCGGACTGCATCCTGCAGCATCAGTCACTTAAAAGAAGAATCTGATTTATTCAGATTTGGGTTTCAAGCAGACGTGAAAACGTTTCAGCGCGTCAATCGCCATCGCAACACATCAGAGAACCGGCCCTTTCGGAAAACAATTGATTCATTAATAAGGATGCAATCGGACCAGAAAATGTGTTAGAATATGACTTGAATAAATCAGTCTTGCTCCCTCCCTCCCTCCCTCCCACACACACTCCTCCCCAGTGCCATCAAAGAGCGGCAAAAACACATTGAGCTCTAGAGGCTGACTTCAAAAGCCTTATCTACCACATCCACAAAATGGATGAACACTAAAGGGTCACCGTTCAGTTCAATAAACCGTTGATTCTGAGGGACATTTTCACGTAATTATTAGGATGAATCGAGTAGCGACTTTGGCACTACACAGGCAAAGTGCTCTCAGCTACACAAACGCACACAAAAGAACCCCCCACCACACACACACACACACACCCCATAGGAGGGTGGGATTTGGAATGATTAACAAAATGTGTTTACATTACACACACTGCATAACGGACCTCTTTCACACGCATGTCTGTATTCTGCATTTCCAGCTATACGTGGAGCGTCACGTCATGGCTGCCATCCAGCAATAAGACACCAAACACCCTCCAGGATATTCCGCCGCCTCACGCAGTCTGACACAGTGACCCATTATCTGTGGCAGGAGCCAGAGGCGGGTGGGTGCACGATGTCAGGGGACGGGGCGAACCCATCACCACGCACGCATCTCAAGCAGTCACCGCAACGTAACCACTGCTGCATGATGTACCATCATAACAACCCCTCGCACTGGGGAGGATCACAGGAGGGGGGAGGGGTTCTTGTTCCTGGAACTGATTACTAAAGAGGACATCGGCATGTTAAAAACGTAGGTGAGGTATCCACGTGCAGTGCATGCGTTACAACTGAAGCATCTGCAGGGGAGCGCACCGCGGTGCAGGTGCGGCGAGTCTCGAGCCAAATGAGGCGAGACTGGATCCAATGCCAGCGGGATCCCAGCAAATCAAGTAGCCTAGTGGGCAACTATGAACAGATCTAATGCAGCACTGCGGAGTCAAACGCCCGTGGAAGCGCCACGACGGGAAGCGCTCCGGTGGAACGTTTATTCTCAGGGATGAAGTTGCTCTGGGGGGGTTGGTGAATGCCGCTAACGTGACAAACAGGCCCGGGTAATTAAAGCGGAGTCTCCCGGGGCTCCGCTACACTACTGCTGCCCATCCTCCTCCTCCTCCTCCTCATCATCACCATCACCCGCAGTGGCCGAAAGAGTCGCGTCGAAAGAGAACGACGGTCCAAACCGCGAAGAACACGAGCCGGCGTGACGTGGCGGGCGGGTCGGTACAAGAGCGGAAACCCTACTCACTTTGTAGAAAATCATCTTTAAAGTGCCGTAGAACCCCATCCTTGTGATCCCGGTGGTCTCCCCGATTGCTTTCCTTTCTTTTCCGTTTGTTCCTCTTCAGAGACGGTGGCGGAAGCGCGGCTCAGTGTGCGCGGCGGCGGCGGCGGCGGCGGGGAAGTGGTGACAGCGCGCGGGCAGCGTTCTCTCAGGTAGATCCGACTCTGGTGTGAACATGCTCGGGCACGTCACCGGACTGGCGTGCGCGCCGTAGATTCCCCCGGCGTAGGCAGTCAAATATATATATATATATATTTTTTTTTCTAACGGCGGGTGAGGGGGTTGGTTGGTGTGTGGGAGAAGCTCCGCCGCGTCACGCCGATTCAAACGGAGCTCGCTCGGTGGGTCGAACGATGCGACGGTCCCGGAGGCGTGTGTGCGCGCGCGCGCCGGAGAGCAGCCTCGCCGAGCAGGGAGTGAACAGATGAGGGAGAAAGAAGGGGTGACACTCGGCAGAAAGTGGGAGGAGTAGATGGGGGAGGGAGGTGGGGGGGGGCAGAGCAGTGCCCGCTTCCTCCTCGCGGGCTGCACTACGGCTCCTCCGCGCGGGGTCGGATCACAGCCTCCCCGGTGGAAACGACAGGAATGGTGCAGTCCAACGTTCAGCGTGCCGGGGACCGGGGACATACGCGCGCAGACGGCGGCGGCGACACGGGGACCGGGTATGCGCCAGTCTTTAATGCGTAAAATGTGGACACCTCATTCACACGCGCGCACGCACTTGTTGGACCAAAAACTCCTTCATCCGTCTCCAAACCCCGCCCGAGTCCACTCGGCCTGAATTTTTTTTTTTTTTACTCACTTCTGAAATGCTCTGCAGCAGATGGCAACATTCGCCTAAGCGTGAAGCATACGTGCAGTGTGTGTGTGTGTGTGGGGGGGGGGCACACATCGGCCATTACGATCTAGTCATGCAACAGTGTGAATGAATCCGCAGTACCTGCTTATTTCCCACCACACACAGATAATGTTTGCATCTCAGCAGGTATATCATTGTTAACAGAAATATGCACTGCTGTACAGCCACTGAGATAGCAGAAAGAAGTTTGAAAAGAACATCTGGCAAAGGTGAAGGTGAACTTAACGCACATCTCCATTGACAACCCAAGTTGTATTCGGACTGTTAAACAGTGGCCCCATGTTACATCAAAGGGCTGCAACTCACACCGATGCATCAAACTGGGGATAGCAGGGCTTGTTGCTGAAAAGAAACTGTTCTGGTGAGAAAAAATATATATGCACCGCAACCGGAGCTCCCAACAGACGAGTTATTTTGGATTAGACCGATCAGAGCTTTTCGCAGGGTTATTTACCAAGTCAGACAAAAGCGAATCACGTACAGAGTCTGGGGAGAAAAAAAAAAGTCAGGTTGGATGACAACAGGTGTCAAAGGATTGGGCTGATTCCGGCATTCCAGTCGCACTTTCTCACCACAGCAAACACACTGACAAAGTTAGGGTGCACCGACAGAGCTAGTTGAGCTCTGTGTGTGTGTGTGTGTGTGTGTGTCTACGGTGGCCCTCCCGTTGCTCTCCACCGGTTCAACCTTTACACAGCACATTGGAATGCTTGGCATGCGAGAGCGGTTGCACTGTGGCCTTTGAATAGGCCGTGGTCCCCTTTGTTGCTCTCCTTCTAGCGGTTGGTAAAGCATTACACCCCCCCGCTCCCCCCCCCCCCACCGATACCGACCTTCTGCTTATGAAAACCTTCATAGAAACTTTAACTTTGAATACATCTTAGTTTGTTTTTTTCTTCACAGGTACCAGTGCTCCATCAGACATTCGCTCCCTTTCCTGCGGTGTTTGACCAGCAGAGGACGTATAAAAGTACAGATTACATCCCGGTGCAGAAGACGGGTCGTCTCATTTGCCTCTGCCCAAAATATCAGACAGCATCCATATCAAGGTTCCAGCACACTGACTCAACACAAAGTGTGCGAGCCTGCGGATGAGCGTCCACGGACGTGTTGACATACAGGAGGAGGCCTCTCCTGTTGCAGCCAACATGTCCTCTATTGAACAGAGGACATGTTGGCTACTTTTCCAGATAGGTTAATTTGTTGATCATTTCTTTAACAAGTGATTTTTTTTAAATATTCAACAGATTAAACAATTATTAACACGTTAATGTTTTTACTCTTCACTATCCAACAGTAGTTTAACAGCAAGTAGATACTCACATTTTCCAAGCAAGTATAAATATTCTTTGATCGGACATATGGGTTAAGATATTTACTGATTATTAGATGACGATTAGTGGATCAAACAATGGACATAGAATTGATGTGCACCAATTAATTAATGAATTGTAGAAATGCTCACTAGCAAGGGCTGTTATGGCAACTTGGTCCATGAAAAGTTAAAACCGGGCTTTTCTTTGACCTCATAGACAAAATCATTAATGTATTAAAGAGTAAAATATTGAACGGATTAAAAGATAAAATAAAACCTATTTGCTTGTAGTCCTGAATTGATCAATTTTAATTTTCAGATGAAATATGTTGAGTCACCCCATAATCTTTGAAGCATCAGAAGTGGTATTAAAAAGGACCTGTCTAGTGCAACTGGAGAAACGTGACTGGCCTACTAACACAAATCAACAGATGTTGGTGGGAAAAAGTTCAGATCTACAGGAGGAAAAAAAAGGGCCTTTCTCTGGCAAATGTTTAATGTGAGGTGGTGAACTTGGAGGCGAATACTTCTTGGGCAGTGATGCATCTCTAAACGGCGCCGTGTCATTGTGCGATTGTCTCCTCTGTGGGAGAAAAAAAAAAAAAAAGAGGACGTGGGGGTCTCCTCTCAATAGATTCTCCCCGGAATGGTGAAGGCTGAACCCCATTCCGGGCTGGACAGATGCAGTGCGTGTGGTGGGCGGTGGGATGAATACGGAAACCGTGGATCATGGCATTCTGCGAAGGATAATAATAGCATCATCTGCAAGGCGCGGAATTATCATATCCTGCAGCCACCCACGCGACCGAAGCGTTCGAGTCGGAAGGGGTCAGGTCAAACGAGAAATTAAAGCGGGAGCCACTGGTATCTCCCTAGAGACGTCGGCGCGGTTGATTAGAAAGCGAGTGAAAAGCAGTGGTCGGTATTAGCAAATGTTTTTGACTGGTTGGAAATGGAGATTCAAACAGACGCGGCATTTTAAAATGTATACAAGCACAGAGAAAGTAATTAAAAGGCAATAGTCTACACGAGCTCTGACAGAACATTAAAATTCAAAAGAGCTGTGTTGTTGATGTTGTTCCCGAGCCGCCAGGAAAATGCTGGGAACATTTATGCCGAGTCATATTTGTTGCTTATCACTCGCTAGACAAAGTGGAATGTGCGTGTATCATTTTAGGATTAAAAAAATATTGCAATATTAAACTGGTTCAAATACATTTTCACAGGGACTGTCAGTCGCATTTTTGTTTGCTTTAACCATCAGCACAGGGCAGGAAGCAGAAAATCAATTTCATTTCCCAGAAATGGAAGTTTGTAATCAGAACAGGTGGCTGTAGGCTTCTGTATGGCCTCCTAACAGAATGTCCTGCTCCATCTATCAGAGTGTCCTCCTCCATCTACCATCAGTGCAGTGACTTATGATCTGCAAAGTACGACTCAAGGAGAACAAACAAAAAAAAAAAACGAGAACCACTACGGAGCCTCGACACCTTCAGCTCCAGATGTGTCGTCGTCAGACACCATTTTTGGGAATAGCAGTCAGATATTGACATTTCGAGCACAATATGTACTTGTTGTAAACTGCAGAGTAAGCCAAATTAATGCTCCAAATGGCTTAAAGAACGGCATAACACATGATCCACGACGTTATGACTTGAGTTGAATAAAAATGTGTCAACAGAAAACGGACATATACAAAACTGCTGCAAATAATTCACATCAAATCTATTCACACCAACAGCAATGTAAAATGTGCTACAGACGCAACTAGTGCTGGGAAATATATCTATTTTTTTATTGACAATGCAGTAAATTGAGACCACAATATCGACTTAACCTTTGGGCATCTGGCCACATTAATATTAAGATACCCAAAGTATTTGGGATAGAATATTGTGATTATCCATTTACAACACTCACAAAATGATTTGAATAGTTTATGCAGGAAGAAAACAAGTGAAATCCCACTGACCAAGAGCAGCATCTGGCTGCTGGAGTGCTCCACTCCATACGTTAATGAGAACAACAAGCTGCCGCCTTCTTGCTGCATAATATTTGCTCATGATCAAAACAATATATGGTCAAGCCAATAGTCACATAGCGCTAATGTTTTGTAGCCATCCGCGGGTTCCTGTGGGGAAAAGTAGAACAGGAAAGTTTTGGTTGGAGGCATACGTGTGTCCAACTGAGGATGAAACAAGACAAGTTTGTTTTGCCACAATACTTAAAAACTCTGAACTAATAATAAGAATATGCACTTCCTCGCCGGCCTTTAGTTCTCCCAGCAGGACCACAAGGACACTTGGACGACAGTTGTCCTTGTGGTTACACTGGGAAGAATTTGTAGTGGTGGGGCTGCATTACTGATTTGTCCTCAAAAGTATTTTTTTTTGTTTGTTGTTGTTGCTGCCTTGGAAGTGAAGTCCAAGCAAATCGATAGCTGAATGTGTGTCTCTTTGCATTTTAAAGACCCGACTGATTCTCTCGGCCCACATGTTGTCCAATCCCAAACATACCCACGTCCTGAGGCCACCGGGAACGCGCGCGCGCTTTCTGGAGAGCACGACCCTCCTTCACCCGGCCCCTCGGCACGTTCGACCTACGACGCGGCAAAGAGAAACTGGCCGGCGTGTTCGGTCCACTTTCATTCAGCGAGTGACTGATCTGGCCTGCATCACTCTCCTCCCTCGTCCAAAGACAAGGTTTTTCCCGGCAAATGTGTCTCAGAGGACTGTACATTCTGCACAATGATATCTGAAAAACGAGCGAGCTTCACTCCTCCATACTGAACAAAGGGTGTCGTGTACCCTGAAGACGGCAGCAGCAGCAGCAGAGCGAATCGATTATAAAAGTATGCAGTGTAATACATTTAAGGAGTATCAAGCAAAGCCCTCAGGTTATGTACTAAGTTCTGAAATGAGCAAAAGTCAACATTTAGTCAGAACTGTTTCAAAGTTTTAAAACAGATTTGAGCTCTTGGATTTGCTCTTAGTCAAATATTTTTCAAACTTTTCGATAAGTACCTCAGGAGGAGGTAATTTACTAAACACTCCAGTGGCAAGTTGTACGAGTGTTTTTTTTTTTTTTTTTAACCATAGAGGTGTTAACATTTTCTTTGCTAATCCCTTTCCAACAGGAGGCCTCTCTAGTTTTTTTTTGCATTTGGATGCAGCCCGAGCCGTCATATCTCATTCAGAAATGAAAGCGGGTTCTGGAAACGCGTGTGATGAGCCAGGTGAAACCTGGCTGGGGCTGGCATCAACATCTACACAGCAACGTATAAACCTCTTTAATCATGCAGAATTACCACTCTGCATCCGAGATGAAGCAGAGCGAGCAAATTGGTGCCTGCTGGGATGCTGCCTGTCGCATGCAGATCCCTACATATGCTTGAGGAGGAGGAGGCGGGAAGTCGCGTGGGGACATTGTGTCGGTGACTTGGTCGCATGCCTTGACCCGGACTTCTCCAGCGTATCCCCTCTGTGATGCTGATCTCATCTGGAACACATCTTCCCATACTGCCCTTTATCTCTCCAACAAAGCAGCCATTTGCATATTTGCCGTTCCAAATGAAGGATTTGAAAAGAAAACACGGCCGAGCAACCTCTGAAGGGAGACTTAAGCGTAATCCAAGTGGATCAGAGGATGCCGTTTCACACAGTCGGTTAGTGTCAAGCAAATACTTATCAGGATCTGCCAGGTTGGTTCAAGTTGAAATATCTCAACAACTCGGATTCTATTCTTGGGAAATTTGGTGGCAAAATTCATGATCGCAAACGGACGTCACCTCTTGAATTTGGTGATCCTTGGTCTTTCATTGTAGCTCCACCATCAGGGTGAAATTGTTCACCCATCTAGTATAACAACAACATTAGTTGACCATTTGGACTTTGCCCGATACTCTGGTTATGGCCAGTATTTCCCTTTAATTATCGACCCCAGGGAAACAAGTTCTACAGACAACCTACTGAATGAGATGTTCCGGAATGTAGAACATCTCGTAAGTTTGTGAGCCTCTTGAAGATTAAAAGAAAGCAGTTTTTTGATAACTAATAGGTTAAGAGATGTGACGCAAACAGACATTGGCCAAAATAAAAGAAAAGCATTTGATAAAAGTGAAATACTCTCACGTTGACACAGAAATCCAATTTCCACAAAGTGAAGGGCACATTTGATGTTGTTTGGCCGAGTCTACTGGCCGTGCTTTCAAAGCAAAGGCTCTTGTCTCAAGTGTTGGGGATTATGGTTATCTTTGATGCACCACCAACAGAGTGGCCCTTTTAAGTGCCCGACTTGACTGCTATCAACCGCCATGTCTGATGGCACAAAATGAGACTCCTATAATGGCTGTACGTCAAATGAAAGATGGGGGGAAAAAAACAAACCGTACAGATCTTTGTATTTGGTCTGTTTGTTGGTTAAGAGGAGCGATGCAACGTAACAGAAATGAAACTATGTGCTCTGCTCCAATTGACCATATTTCACTGAAGTAAAGAACCACTCAATGAAGCCACATCAGCCCAACTGCAGGCCGCTCTGACGGTTAATATGAGGAACTTGTTTCAAACGACAGCATCATTCAGCTAATCTTTGGATCTCTCAGATAGTCAGCTGTTAAATCTCACCTCGTTGGTAATAACTGTCACATGTGGTGCACAGCCACTGGGTTTTAAAGCATTTTGTGCAAAGCACACCCAATTAAAGAATCAGTCTTGAACAGATTATCGGTTTCATTTCATTGAATAATCGATTGGTTGATCAAATCATTAAACGTGCAAATCAATAACTATGCATAATTTAAACGCAGAGTACATTTTTTTGATTTGATACGGGTTGGGTTAGGATGAAGCTTTCATGATTAAAATCTGTAGAATATATTAACCGTGGTGAATGCATCCATTCTGATGGCCTAAATAAACGGACATTTAAGTCTCAAATGATTTGTTATTGCCACCGTAAAGTTTCTCTCAGGGGTGTGGAGTCAATCAGAAATGGCAATAAAAAGTATATTGTATCCCGCCACATTAACAAACAGACACCAGTGGTGTGCTCTGTGAACACAAAGCGTGGAGCGGGTTTCTTTTATATAAAAAAAAAAAAAAAAAAAACAGCCGGAGGCAAAGAGAAAATTGCTTGTTGAGAAAGAATGCACCAGAAGATGATCAGAATTAATGCAATGATTCGGCTCATGAAGTGTACTGTGCTGTGGGGATCAGCTTCGCCATGTTTAATCTGCCGTAGAGGTAGGACTGAGGATCAAGTAGACTTTCTGGCTGAGGCAATGCAACTT